AGGGGGGCATTGCTCCAACTCAATGTTCTTTAAACATGGTTGATACAGCCTCCCCTCGATGGAATACCTGCAGGTTCTTTCAAACTTAGAAGTTCTCAATTAGTATAAAGGCTAATCATCCAATCAGACTCTCTTTCCTGGGAAAAATGCTCAGCTAGGCAAAGAGCCCACCTAAAAGGCAAATACAAAGCATCTGCACTGCAAAATTATTTGCATCATGCATCTATATTACTACGCAGGAAATATAAGTTAGTCTAAGCATCTATGTGTGTAAAAAAAAAAAAAAAAGGATGCATTTTTGTAAGCTCAAGCTTTAAGAAAATTAAAATCCAATTCATTTAGTTGTTGAGATTCCTGACAGTGTCTCTCTATAAGGCAAATTACACCGCATTACAGCTGTGACAAAGGAATGCCTAGGTTTTCTTTAGTACAGTTATATTATTACAAAGCTAGAAAGGAATGGATTTTGCAGACTTGACACTCATTTTATTTTTAATATTGAATTATGCATACCTGAACAGAGACACTGAAATTGTCAACAACTAGCACTTATTTGAAATGGAGGAATTTTCAACTGCAATTCCACTCAGTCAGAGCCCTTACTTGCTTCCACACTATAAAGCAACTAAAAAAAAAAAATGAAGCATACCCAAAAAAGCAGAAAGTGACAAATGAAAGTACAACACAAAAAACTTACTTTAATGTGTGGCTACCACCTCACATGATACATTTAAGAAAAAGTATACTTTTTTGTTTCTACCAGTAAACACACAGCTCACAAAATACTAAACATTTTCATCTGCCTTGTTACTCATAACCACTAACAGGTGCACAATAAATGCTTTGGCTGCTTGTACAACAGCAAAACAAAATACAATGTATACCCTCAGAATCCATTCTGCCTCTCACTACTGTGAGTGAACAAAAAAAAAAAAAGTGTTTCCTTCATGTCATTTCATCAATAATGCTACACATAGCTGCATCTTTGTCCAAAACCTGATCTCTCTTGCCACCGGAACGCTCTCTCTGTTTTTCGCTCTGTCCCATACAGGTGCAGCCATCATCAGTATCCATTGTTTCCACTTTCACTCTCAGTCCTCCCTCTGAATGAGGCAGATCATCAGGCAAGGAAGCCAGGCAGTTCTGAATCATCTCTACAACTCGCTCTAAGTGCTTCTGAAATCGCTCTGCTGTTTCCAAACGCTGACGTTTCTGCACCTCCATCATGACTCTCAGTGTCTCCCTAGCTTGGTGAGGGCGATACTCATTTATAAGATGATGGACATGAACAAAAAGCAGTTTCAAGTCTTCCAGTTTCTCCTCTCTCTTTATGCTCCCTGGACTCCTTATCAAGATATCCAAGAGGTCCAAAAAGTTGACCAGGATAGACATATTAAGTTTTCTTAATTCTTTCTTGTGATCAAACTGCAGAGGATGTAACCGTTCAATACCCTGACTCTCCAAGGGTCGAATAATCAGATCATCACATTGAAACTGATTACCAAACATCATGTAACTGTCTTTTACAGGTGGAGGTGGCTTTGGAGCCAGGCCTTTACGGATATTTTCATCAGTATATTCTTTTATATATTGCATTGGAGGCGGAGGAAGGGCACTCACTTGCTGAGGTTCACCCATTTTTGCCAGATGAAAATACCTAGGGAATGTCCCAAAAAATACATGTTAAACAATCTGTGTGACAACCTCACCATATAAATAGAAACAAAGCCAATATAAGAGAGCTGGCTGTGAGAAACTGAGCCGGAAGAAAGCCAGCTCAATGCACAGAATACAGGAAACTCCCGAGTAAATCTGTGCTAGCTTTTCACGAAGATATACTTTTAGCAAGATTAGCTTCACTAGAAGCACATTAAGCATTCATTTCCTGGAA